TACTGAGGTGTAAAGTAGTAACTCAAACCAAAAGCACATAACTGAGCCAAATTTCATATGAGTGAATGCCTATTTAGTACATATTTAGTACATCAGGGAAAAATGTGCTTTCCCCTGATGGTTGGGAAATGGTTGCTGACAAAGATAGAGCTGGGTCAAAAACTTCCTTGTGATTGTTTTAGTCACCAACAAGCTACAATCTCCTGTAGTTTGCACTGAAGACGCCGATTTCTGTAAACACTCGCCAGCTATTTGCCAAATCTTGAAAAAGTGCAACTCAAGATGCAGAATCTCTGCCTTCAAAGTAAAAGTTGCGCCCTTTGAAAGATTCTGGTTGCAGCGGTAAGGCACAACTTTTATTTTGAAGGTGAACTTTTCTCAGTTTCATTCTGCAAGCAGTTGGTGACTGTTTTCAGACAAGTTGCCATCCTCCAAGCAAACTACTAGCAAAGCAATATCAGCAAATTCTACCAACATGTTGCCAACCGGTAGAGGAGTACACATTTTCCCTTAGCAACAGGTGGTTGCCAGAGGGTTCGCTGACTGGTCACTAGCCATATGTGAAGTAAACAGCTGTAAAGATATCAGTGTTATGGTCTGTCTCCACAGTGCTGTCTGCGTGCCACTTCTGGTGTAAAGTGAAGAAACTTATTAGCCTGTTGGCATTAATCTAACACAGTCACAGTCAATTTGAAACAGCTCAAACTCCAAAGTGTTTATCTAGCTCGTGTGTCCCAATTTGGTGCTTTGTCTTCATCCCGTTTCCTTTGATGTGATCCTGATATATGAAAAATATTGTGCGGCTGCTGGCTGTGTTGTCTCTCTCTTTGGATGACAGGGGATTTCTGCGGACGGCACTGATGTCTCATCACAGCTCGAGACATTATCTGTCTTCATTTCCGCCTCCACTGACAGATTTCATCGCGACTTCAATTAAAAGATTGCGATCTGCGCCGTCAGCTGAGTCCTCTGCTTGTTTCTGCGTGTTACATTAGAAACATTATTATAAAAAATATGAGGGCAACCTCTTTATTATCACCCCTGCTCCCTCAGATGAGTCAGTAACCTGCTGATTCTTGCTCTAGTTCTAGTGTAATCTCCCAATTTTCCCATTTTGGCTTCAGCTCTCGTGGTTGTTTCCCAGCTGGAGAGCGTCGGGTTACAGCCAGCCCTAAATTACACCTCTCTGTTGGGATGCAGGGGACAAAGAGGTTTCTGTTGTGCGTGATGAGCTACACCCGGCCAGTGACCTATGCTGCAGCGCAGTCTCACACACAACCATGACCACAAACTCCCACAGCAGAAATGACAGGGAGCTCATAAAGCCTCACTGTGTGCCTTTGGTGTGGTTCTGTTTTCAAGCAGGCGGAGTTGGACCTCTCCCATTTCCTGTTCTCCAGAAAGAGGAGGATATATTTGTTTCTGAGCCTCCATGTTTTTTTATTGATATTTTTTAAACTAAACTTAAGGCAATAAAAGCTGATTATTTATTTATTTATTTTATTTTGTTTGTTTCAGTGTCATTGTGACATTGGGGTGGTATCAGATGTCCCATAAACCAGACCTTCTCTTGTAAACATGGATTTGCTCCGTATGTAATTACTCCTCCTCCCTGAAAGCTAAAAAAACACACCCACTGTTTTTTTAGCTTTTGTTTTTTTCGGGCCTTATTGTGATTTTAATGCTTTGTCACCCCCCTGTCTCACACAAACACACACACTTTTTTGTAGGAAGCAATATGCTGACATTATGCTAAAATAAACGCAGTCACATGGCTTAAGCTACTATGTTAGATGTGATTATGTTTAAGGTAATGAACCTCGTATCGTCAAAATTCTTAGTATGATAATCCTAAAATCTATACAAATCTAAAATTTGTGTAAAAGTACAAAAATACAGTTTAATTTCTATGTTTTAGGAATCTTGGTTCAGCAGATATAGCCTCACTACAGTTGCTGTGCATCTGCAAGCCACTTTTCAACCCACCTTCAACCCCAGATCTTTCTTTTCATGTTTTTCTGACTCTATCAAAGTCATGTATGTTGTCAGCGATGCCTGCTTTTACACTCTGACTCTCGCTGCTTGCTCGTGGTATACAAGGACAGGGAGGTCCCAGAACAAAGTCATACCGCCAAATATAAATCGCTGTAAATAGAAATGAGGATAGTCTTTGAACTGTAGCGTTATCATTATTATTTATATTTAAAATGACTATTATTACTGTAATTAACACCCAGATCTGTCAGTGTTTTATGTGTGTACTTGTTTAAAATGGTTTAAAGTAATAAGATGCCTCTTGGTAATGCTGCTGCTGCCAGGAGATGCTGGAATGAGGGTAAAGCTGTAAATGTTTGTCTACAGTGTGCACGGTTGTTCACGTTCTCTCTCTCTCTCTCTCTCTCTCTCTCTCACACACACACACACACACACACACACACACACACACACACACACACACACACACACAGTAATATATGTTGATATAATGGGTTGTTTCCACTTATATGTGCTGTTCTGGAGGTTAAAATAGAACCCACGGGTGTATAAATGTGTAAATATTTGTCTTCCCTCTTGAATAGATTCACGGTGTGCTGTCGCTGTTTGCATTACACACACACACGCACACACACACGCACACACACACAGTGAAATGACCTCTGTATGCTGCCCTATAAGGGCCGTCCTCAAGCCTCTGTGTTTGTGCATGTGGGAGAAAATGCTAGAAGTTAAGCTCTCTCTTTCTCAGACTGTAATCGAAGCCGCATGCTTGGCATTTGGTCGTCCACCTTCCTCCTCTTTCCTCGTTTCCTGCATCTTGATTTCACTCTCTCTTTATCCCTCTTCTCATTCATGTATACATCTTTTTTTGTTGTCTGTTTTGTTGTTTTATAACAGTTTGTCCAAACCATCGGTGTCGTAATAAGTTGTTTTCCTCATCTTGCTCTTCACGTGTCTCTAATTTAAATGGTTTTCTTCTCTCACACTGGCCGAGTCCCATGTAGCTGAAACTGCAATTGGAAACCTGCTTCTTATTTTGTGTCCCAGCAGAACTTGAAGTTGCATCACAAATGTTTTTGAAGCAGCGAGTTCAAGCGAGGACAGGGCTGGAAAAATGTAGCTTTGAGTTTGAAATGTATGCGATCCCTGAGGGTAACTGTACATCATTTCTGTTTCTTAAAAGAATGATACAATGATATATAAGAGCGATAAAACATCTCAAATAGAAAGCGTAGCAGACAGTAACACCACAAGGAGATAAACATGTACGGAAGTTCATCAGTGACAAAACTGCAGGGGATTTAGGATTTAAAAGTAAGAAAAAGACGTGTTTGTCAAAATAAATCACATGTTTGTACATGCCGGTGTACTCCTTGTGCCAATTCCAGAAAAGAAAAGAGAAACAAGCGTTACCCACGGGAGGCAACACAAGAGGAAAAGAGTTACCCACCTACTCGGGTACTTATGTTTTTTGCCAGTTTTTTCCCCAAACTGAATATGACGAGTTAATAAATAAATCTAAAAAGGACGAAAAACTGCACACATGATAAAAGTAATGGCCTATATTTTTTCATAGTCTTTGTAATCTTAATTTCCTCTTAGCAATTTTTATGCATTGAATAAGTGTTTTGCTAACATATATAAATCAGGCCTGCCTGCTTTCATAGCCCGGCTCGATAACTGTGACAGGGGATGGGAGACCTTAAAAAACACAAGATTATTTCCAGATTAAACTGCTTTAAATAGCTTTTATTTATGAGTGAGTGAGTAAGGGTAGAGCGTGGATGAATATCACTGTAAGTGTGCTGCAGAACTGAGGGGAGGAGGCAGCTTTTCCAGCCGAGCTCAGTGCGGAACAAAACAGAGGCACCAAGGGTAGACTATATTCAAACAGACTTACAGTAACTTTATTACCAGTTACTTTATTTTATATTGAATGAAAGTAATGCAGTTTTATCTTATTTCACAGTTTAGTTTTGCTGAAACGATAACTGCCTCCATGCCGGCGACTGCTGTAGCAGGACGAATGATGTTTTCTGAATCCTGGCACCGACTCAGAAATGAACGACATTATAACGTTCTGCAAATGTTCTGCAAAAACACTTTAACTACATGGTATAATAACTTCAGAACAGAACATTGTGATTGTATTTCACTTTTGAATCGGTGATATTCACCTTTTAAAGTTTGTGGCTTCTTGGCATCGACGTCCATATTTGAACCCGTGTACACTTCCATTTCTGTTAAATTGCTTCAATTATCCCTTCATACATGTACATGTAGTGTTTCTGGACAGACCGGATATAAACTGGTTGGTGGTTATACAACATTATACAACATTTAATAGCGACTGCAAAGTGAGGACTTCATGGTTTTATCTACTGTTTATTGCTTTAAACTGAGTATGTTTGGGTTTATCTGATAGGATAAGACATCAATGTTCTGTTTTCCTTTGTCTTGGGGACCAAAACTGTTGAACTTGGAGGTCTAGTCTGCATGTTTTCTGCATGCTGAGAGGAGCAGAGGAAGGCCTAATCTCCAGCATACTTTGCTTTGGCTGCCTTTTGTTTATTAAAGTCATAACAGCCAATCACAGGGGGGGATCTACACATGCTCACCTGCCTAGGAGATAAAGAATGTGATGATGGGGGATCAAAGGCTAGGAGGAAGAGGGCTTGTCTGCAAACTTCTGTATGTGTTTGGTAAATGTGTCACCACACTGAGAATCAAACACACAGTGAAAGAGAAGCTGTGATTAGTGGGGGAGAGGTTTGAGTATTTGATTGGCTACTTTAGTCTTCTCTGAGGGAGAGCTGAGGGAAACCTCAAGGCAAGGTGCCAATAAAGAGTTTAATAGTCTGTAATTACAGACTGACGGTCGTAGGCTCCCGACGATGTGGCTTTATGTAATTATCTGTCTGATTCCTCCTGCATGTCTGTGACAGGAGTTCAAATTAAACATCCTCTGAAAATTCATAGTGCTTTATTTCTCCTCCCTGCAGCACTTCTCCGAGCTGCTGGACGACCTCTCCCAGGATGCTTTGCTGGGTCAGCTGCTCAGCGACCCCTTCCTGTCCGGGGGGAGAGACTCGGTGGAGTCCATGGAGGAAGACGACGACGCCGACCTGTCCCCGTCTTCCCCTCTTCCGCCCCACATCACCGCTGAGCACAGCTACTCGCTGTGCGGTGACAGCCGACCCCAGTCACCCCTGTCACACCTGACCGGAGAGCACGGCAGCGAAGCAGGTGAGATGCCAACACAAAGATTGTGACTTTAAAGGACAACCAATCAAAAGCACCGGGGTGCTTGTCCTCAAGCTCACAGTGATTATTAAACACAGCTGCTGGTTTTAAAGACTTTTTATTTTTTGATACAAATCCTATCGCTGGGATTAAAAGTGTAGTTAAAATGAACTTCACTGGGAGAAAGTGGAGTCTCACTGGTCTGGCCCACTTAAATTCAAAATATGTGGCTCGTGATGTAAAATCCCTGCTTTGATTCTCACGTCATCACACTGAGAATCAGACCAGAATCAGAAGAAGAAAGAATAAAAGACAGAAAACAGTCAAACAGCATCTTACCACTAAATCTGCTTTATCAAGGCTTTTATAGCTTTTTATTGTGAAAGGACTTTAAACAAAAGTTAAAACTCAAAAGTTAAGATTGCTAATGAAGCATTAATGGGCGATCGTGGCTCAAGAGTTAGGAGTTCGCCTTGTAATCGGAAGGTTGCCGGTTCGAGCCCCAGCTTGGTCAGTCTCGGTCGTTGTGTCCTTGGGCAAGACACTTCACCCGTTGCCTACTGGTGGTGGTCAGAGGGCCCGGTGGCGCCAGTGTCCGGCAGCCTCGCCTCTGTCAGTGCGCCCCAGGGTGGCTGTGGCTACAACGTAGCTTGCCATCACCAGTGTGTGAATGTGTGTGTGAATGGGTGGATGACTGGATATGTAAAGCGCTTTGGGGTCCTTAGGGACTAGTAAAGCGCTATATAAATACAGGCTATTTACCATTAATGCTCTATAAACCAGTATTTGTTACCCGTTACCGTAATATTTATGGAGCTGCTCTGCTACTGTTGTTGGTAAGTGTTGGTATTATTGTGTGCAGTGGTAGATAAACCTTAATCTAATCTAATCTCATTGGTAAAGAGCACTAACAGGAGCACGCTTTGCCTCCTCTGCAGCTGAGTCTGATGGCGATTCAGCCGAGTGGCCTATGGAGCAGGAGGAAGCCATTGAGAGCCTCCTGTGTGAGACTCCCTCCCTGCTCCCCACGCTCTCCCTCTCTCTGGCCACCAGTGAGGGGGCCCAAACGTCCGAGGGTTCGGCCCTGGCCCCTGCTGCCACCTCGGTTCAGGTCACAGTGAACCAGAGCAAAGTCATCAAGGTGAGAAACGATGGTTAAATCAGATATTTGTGCTCTTTTCTTCTTCTTTTTAATGTTTGTAACATTTTAACACCTCCTGTTTGTCTTTTCCTCTGTTTGAAGATAAAGGAGGAGAAAATCAGCCCTAAAATTAAACTGGAGCCTCATGAAGTGGACCAGTTCCTCAATCTCTCACCAAAAGGTCAGTTCTTTCCTCTCCTCTCTTTCCACTTGCTGCACTTCTGTAATGGTGTGCTACGAGGACCCCTGCTGGTGATTTGTTTAAATACCTCACAGCTGAGTTTGAAAACCCCTGAGCATCAAAAATGGTTTCTAAATTTAAATTTTTAAAAATTTTCTCTGTTTTCTCTGAGACTGAATGAATAGCTAACAATCCAGCCGCTGTGTTTTAGGTCTGGAGTCTCTACAGATGCCTCCCACTCCCCCGAGTTCCCACAGCAGTGACTCAGAGGGCAGCCAAAGCCCCGTTCACGCCCTGCCTGGCCTCTCCTGCCCCACATCCCCCACCAGCCCCCCTCCATCCCAGGCTGGCCTGAAGGTGTCACCACGAGGTGCTTCGTCCTCCCTCTCCAACTCGCCTCTGCTCACCGCTCCTCATGTAAGATTAAAGGAAATTTTAAAAGCCCATCAAACCTCAAAGAGAGCAGAATAGCAGAGTAACGTGTTTCCAGCTGATGTAATTAAAATAACTGGGGTTTTTTGCATAATTTTCCTGCTGTTTTTGCTCTGCAATCCATGAATATTACTGGACTTTCCACCTTTTCCACTCCTTTCACATCCCTTCTACAACCTAATGTATATGTGCAGACTATCGTGCCAAAAAAGAAGTTATAGTGTAAAATTCACAAGCATTTTTTAGACATCCTCCCTCTTTACAAAGTTGTAAACAATGTTTACGTTTATCTGTTGTTTCCTGTAGAAACTGCAGGGTTCTGGGCCGCTGATCCTGACCGAGGAAGAGCGCCGCACGCTGGTGGCCGAAGGTTACCCTGTTCCCAACAAACTCCCGCTCACCAAAGCTGAGGAGAAGGCACTTAAGAAGATCCGCAGGAAGATCAAGAACAAGGTGCCGATGTAGAGCACAGTTTGTTTTGGATGATCTGAGCAAGCATCCGTGATCATCCGTAAAGAGTCTAAAAGACTAGGAATATGTTTACTGCAAGTTAGAACAAAATAGTTAACAAAAAACAAGAAAATATTTGTCATGTCAGGCGAATTTCTGATTTTTCTACTTTTTCTGATTCTGTTTCCTTCACCATCTCTCAGATTTCAGCTCAAGAGAGTCGCAGGAAGAAGAAGGAGTACATGGATGCTCTGGAGAAGAAGTAGGTCCTTCTTTTTTCCTCTTTCATGTGAAAAACAATGTCAGGATCACTACAAATAGCAAACAGCTATTAATGCTGCATAAACGTGTCCCCTTTTAGAAAAAATGCTAGGTCATCTAAAGTATCCACATTCAAACATCATCAGGGTGAATCTCGGCATTACCGAGGTGTGCAGAGTGAAAGCAGCTGTTCTTAAACTACAAATAAATCACGCTAGAGTCAGAACAGGGAGAAAGTGGTGCTGATGAATGAACGGCGTTCAGTCACTGACCCTGCAGTACTGCTGTCTGACCACAGGGTGGAGACCTGCTCCAACGAAAACAGCGAGCTGCGCAGGAAAGTGGAGACTCTGGAGTGTACAAACAAGTAAGAGCAGCACACACGGACTCACAGTCTTAACCTTGTATAGGATTGATTTAATGCACAGTAACGGACCCATTTTAGATCCTTAACTTCTGAAACTACATAAAAATATAAAATTACCACATAGAAGTTAATTATTTCCTGCAAGATGCTTTTAAATTGCCCCTATTGGTCAAACATCAAATTCTCCCTCCTCTTTTGGCCTAAGGTAGGTAAGTAAACTGTCTTCACGAAGCACTTCCAGCAGTTCCAACAAGGAATTTTTCTGAATTAGAGAACGCGAGCACAAAAACAAAAGGATAACTGAGGTGGTAGTCCAGTTATTTGGGCTCTTTACAGATTCAGCCTCTGTCAGTGGCGACACAGATGAGTGAGCGACAGAGGCGATGACAAGTGTGTCATAAAGACTCTGGGATGGTGACAATCAAAACACCAGGAAAGTCATGAGGGAGGACGGGTTCACACCTAAAAATGTCCCTCCCTGGGCGCATGCTGGATTTAACACATCCTTGGGGATTTGGCTTTTTTTTCCCTCTCCCTCTGTCTTTGTGAATCTCTAAAGGCATCTGTTTTTATTTCACGCAGTGCAGCTGAGAAAAGCACGGAGAATGAGTGGGGAAACACTGACTCGCTTTTATTATTTGCAAATAGAGCTGAATCAAAAGCTCCCCGTGGATGTGTTCAGCTGCAATTTTGCATCCATGCATAATCATGAGGCTATTTTAATGTGAAAAGCTCACCCTGCATCAGATAGACAGCGCTGTTTGCTCTCGTTATGCATGGATGAACCGTGCGTGCACCCACTGAGTGCACTGTGTTAAGTATAGCTGCCTGGAACACAGCTGTTCTGGGGCTTGTTTTGCACTCAGTGGTTAAAGTGGGCTTTGCTGTCAGTGTCAAAAACTTAACGAACCAGTTGCATGCGTGGTGTGTGTGTGTTTTTTATTCTGGGACACCTGGACAGCCAGCTTATGTTGTCGTTAAGCTCAGTTCCTTATTTAATGAAGCAAACGAGAAAGAAAAATTTCAGAAAAATGTTTGACTTGTGCAAAAATAAACAGCAGATTCTTCACTAAAGTGCAAATTCTGGATTTTATAATAAGGATGCTGATGTAATTTACTGCGATATCATTCACATTAACATGCAGAATGTGTGGGCGCACAATTCAATGAGTTTGCATAACTTTTATAGACTGTATATAAAAGAGGGAAGCCACCATGAAGTCACCCAGTGGGTTTGTACTCTGTATTTTGAAGCTTGCCACCTTGTTGTTTTCAGTGCCATTAAGGCAATTCTTTCAAAAAAGCTCAAACAACACAAACAAAGAAGAATGGTACAGTTAAGCAACTCCGATTAGCAAATATGAGGCCCGGTACACAACTACAGCTCCCCCTATCTGTCAGTCACAGCAGCCAATATCTGGATAAATAATATTTATAAAATAAAAACACCACCATGCACTTATGGTGGGGGTAATGAATGGGGATGGGGGTGGGGGAGGGAGACTATCAATCGAACCCCAAATTGTAAAACATGCTTATTACTACTGTAAAATGGACATTTTAACATGTAAGTCTATGGGATCTGACTCACTTTGGAAGTCGGCCTCAAGTGGCCAGATGAGGAACTGCAGCTTTCTGATGCTTCCACAGTGGCTTCATTTTTCAGTCCTGGAGATGGCAGTACAGAAGAGTCTGCAAACCTGTTCAGATTACAACAATGTTTTTTTGTTTTTCTAAACAAAACAGAACAAATCAGCACACACATAACAACTAACAATGTCTTTGCATGTTAAAAAATTAATAAAGAAACAAAAGTTAAAAAAAATATGGAGAAAGGTTGTTCAATGAATAGACATTGTGTGTCTGAAATGATAAGCTGATCCTTTCTCCCCTGAGAAATTAAATTTTAAGCTTTCTTTTAAAAATATCTCATGGATCGTGTCATGTCAGTGCGTTCTAAGCTGTTTGCTTTCATTTCACACTTACATTCAGTTACACTTACACTGAGTGTAGAGACAGAAACAGCTGGACAAAAAACATCAAGGTAGGAAATTTAAAAATAATCATAGAAAACCAACAGATTTAAAGGATCGAGGTTAACTGGGTTAGCCGTGTCAGGTATTATGTTGTGTGTTTTTAGCTCTATTGTTGGTTTCTGGTCACGAGTTCTAGCTTATACACATTGTGTAGTTGTTGTTTTTTTTTTTTTGTTTTTTTTGTATAGCTAACCCTCTTAGCACTTTGTAAAGAGAGGCTTTAGAAACTGGGCTCATACTTTGGTGTCCCGTGGTGCGAACGCCGTTTCCAGCACTTTGACAAAACTGAGAAAATGTTCGAGGCAGTCTTCAGCGTTGACACACAGATCACAGACCCACAAACAACTCTAAGCCAGGAGTCGGTGTGTTTTGTGGTCACCGAGTTCAAAAATGAGTCGGAGGAAATGTAAAGTGAGGCAGGTGTTTTATTGTGCGAAGCTGTAATGGTTTGCACTCTCTTTACGCGATACATTAAATGCAGATTGTCTATATGGTGAAAAAAGCATGCACGATGCACTCAGGTGTGTGTAACCTCTGTGTGTGTGTGTGTGTGTTTCTCCACAGGTCTCTCCTGCAGCAGCTGCAGTCTCTCCAGGCAGCCGTGGCAGGAAAAGTTTCCAAGTCCTGCAGGATGGTTGGCACCCAGACATCATCATGCTTAATGGTACGCGTGTGTGTGTGTGTGTATTAACAGAGATTGTGCTGATGAAACATTGATTAAAATATTGAATTAGAAACATCTGCTCCCATCGTTCATTAGCAGCGTAGCATTATGTGTGATTCATAATTTATTTGCCTCTCCCTCCCCTCTCTCCACCCTTCTCCTTCTTCTTCTCTTTGTGTTTGTCTCTCTGTAGGTGGTTGTGTTGTGTTTCGCGCTGTTTTCGGGGAGTTTTTATCCCAGCAGCTTTACGCCACGCTCCACCATCACTGAAACGGGCCTCGCTTCCAAACAGCTGGATGTCAAAGAGTCCTACACAGCTACAGGTAGTCACACTCACCAACCCGCACTCTATACACATGTTTAATACACCTTACTCAGCGTAGTTACAGCGTGATTTAGCCTAATCACATACCTAAAGTAAATGCAAAAATATAGTATTGTTGGGACGGTTAAATATTAATGTAAATATGAGAGGAAAGTATGAATATATTGTACTTGACATAGTCAGGTTTTCTGCATGAAAACAAAATAAAACTGAACAAAGCCGCAAAATATGAACACAAATAAATACCCCAGATGTTTTTCAAAGATGTTTGCTAAACAGCTTTTTGCTGGCAGGGCAGATAGATGACCTCAGATGAACTTTAGAAAAGTTGATGGCATTTTGTGTTCCCGACTTTTTCCTGCTTCCATCAAAAACATACAATTGTACATTTGTCCAACGGCTCTCAGAGGCAGAGTATCACCATGGTTACGCTGATACTTTGATTACACAGAAATGTTTGCATTTTCCGTATGAAGCCGTATATTCATGCGTGTGGAGCTGAGACGAGTGTGGACACACACCCACAGTTCGAGTCACCTTTCCTGGTCATTTCAGCTTAAGTGACCTGCCCTGCTGTTTCCATTGTAATGAATCATTAGTTCCCAGCTATTAAACTTTGGTGGTCCATTATAACATTGCTGCTAATCAGATGCCTCCTACAGCTACAGAGACTGATTAGTGGCGTTGACCTTTCACTGCATCCTCTCTGCTTCCTCCCACATGCACGCACTTTCTTTTGTAAGAGAAACCAGATATAATTTTCTTAACAATCAATTTCAGTTTCCTCTCCCATCCTGCCCACACGCACACACACTCACACACACAAACCCACAGGCTGCACAGTCTTTTCACCAGGCAGACAATAACATGTGGTGCTACACAGTTATAAAGTGTGTGTGGGCTGGTGTGTGAGTGAGTGTGGAACTAAAAATGATTTTCCTGACACCACACAGTCATACTTTCTCCTCACAAAAATTAGGCATTAATAAGCACTTATCCCCAACTTTTAGTTAAGTCGAGGAGTCTGTTATCGACTTTCGAAGACGAACAGCCGCACCTCCTCGGCCTGGGTGGTGAATATCCCGACCAATGGGAGGACACGCCAGCCGTCGTGATGGCAGCGTGGCGCCGCTCAGAGCAGCAGAAACTCGGGGTTGAGCCCACCAGGATGGAAACACACCCACCTTTCAGGAATAAAAGCAACGACACACAGACGTCAAAAAACCTGCTCCTTCACCTGCACAGGTAAACACACAGCACGATGAGGAGTACTCGGATGATGATGATGATGATGATGATGATGATGGTACTGGGAGTAAACAGAATACCTGAACTCGATCAAAAGAAAGAGTTCACCCACTTTAACTTTCTCGATAAGATTAAAACCTCACTTTTCTCACAGATTTACCATAGATACAATTTTAATTATGATGCTCGTGAAAATGCAGATAACCATGACCTGTAATAACTAACACTACCTCCTCTGAGCACACTGGGAGTCTTGTTTTAATCACAAATCTTACTCCTCTGCATTTAACCCATTCACCCAGTGAAGCAGTGGGCAGCCATAGCGCCCGAGGAGCAGTGTGTAGGGACGGTACCTTGCTCAGGGGTACCTCAGGGTAGCCGATCAGTGGAGTCGAAGCCCGACCTTCCGATCATGGGGCAACCACTCTACCTACTGAGCTATCCCTGCCCTAAGCACATTGAGTTTAGGTAGAATGAAAGTGCTATATAAGTTAAAATTAACATCAGCCTCTATATCCAGGCAGGTTAGCACAGCCAAACATCGATCCGCCCACCATTATTCAACAGTCTGACATAAAGCCAGGTCATTAGTCCTCAGCTGCTAACCCAGTTGTGGTTCATTAAATATATTTAGGTTGGGTTTTGGTTATTGTAGTTTTGTTTACTAATTTTAGTTTAGTGGAGAAGTCTGAATCCAGCTTGGTTGTGTTGTGTGGCCTTCGTCTCCACGCTGTTTATAACCCAGTCAGACACCTCAGGTCATCAGGTGCAGATCTTTTCAGTGTTCCTAGAATCAGACCTAAGTGTGCTGAGGGGGCCTTCAGTGACTGTGGTCCTGTTCTTTGGAACAAGCTGCCTGCTGACCTGAGATCAATCGTCTGTGCTGACATTCAAAAACAGACTCGGAGCCTTTCTGCTCAATACCTGTGTGTGTGTGTTTTCATGTATTATTGTGCTGCTTTCACTGCTTTAAGGCATTAAAAACCTACACGGGTTTTTGTGTTTGTATTTTCTGTTAAGCACATTGAGTTTAGGTAGAATGAAATGTGCTATATAAGTTAAAATTGACATTTTTTGTTTGTTGTTGCGGGGGCTCCCATCCGCCTTAGTTATAGTCCATCTTTGTATGTTTGGATGGTTAAGCGTTTGCTGAGGTGCAGCAGAGTTTTGGCGTCTTATATGTTGGCTTCCTTTGAGCCTGACACAGAGAAGACTTTATTGTAGTGAACTGAATCTCATCCAGTTGTTCTGTGTCTCTCAGGTCTCTGGAGCAGAGGACGAACGAGAGCAGAAGTAAAGTGATAGAGCTGGAGAGAACAGTCAACGAGACTTCCTGAGATTTAAATTCACACCAAAAAAACCCCAATCCTTCCTCCTTTACTCCCCACGATGACCTTTGACCCCTCTCTGGAGCATGGTTCAGTGTCCTGGAGCAAACCTCATATAGAAGCTTCCACTGCTGATATTTTAAGGTCATTCTTTTTAATGCCATCTCTGCTTAATCAGATACACTGTAATGGTAGGAATAAAAAAAGAGTAGAGGGGCACTGGTTGCCTTAATTTCTGAACTAAAGTTGCACTGAATAGTTTTTCACGAGTCAACTTACCAGTTGTAGTTGTTTTAATTGATCCGGCTCGAGACACTGTGTTTAAAAATCACACTTAGAGAATTTCAAAGAGAGTGTGGCATTTATTCGAGGGGTAATTATATTAAAATATGACATGTGAGGCTTTTTACAGGACACTGATGAGAACCGTTTATATTTATAGACGCTTTTGTTGATGTTTTTTTTTTTCAAAATTTATTGCTCTTTATTGCTATTAAATGTTTTTATTTCATTCCAGTAATGCGTACAGCCCATTTTTATACTTGTTTGTGTTCATACTGTGTTTTGTCTTTTTATTTTTATTGTACTCTTTTTATATATTCTTTTTTTTTTTCTTTTCGAGGGCCTAGCTTGGGGTTCCTGCACTCGTGTAACATTTTTAACTGGGTTAAAACAATATATTCAATCTACACTCACATTCTTTCTATTTCCTCAAGGAAATACTGACTGAAATGTTCAAACCCAACCTGAAGTGGGTTATTCTCGTTCATATTTGGCACGTGGGGACCCCGTTAGCTGGTCTTCGGTTCTTTTTGTACGACAGTCACCGTGTGCCAGTCAGAAGCTGATATTTGAGATGTGGTTTCCTGCAAAATTATTTTATTTTTGTTCCTTTATAGGTCACGTTTGCCCATTTGACCACAAAATGCAAAGAGCTAACTGAGATGATTGATACCACTGTCATACCTGCATGATTAATATTGAGCTTGAGCTAAGCTAACTGCTTCTTATTTACTGTTTAGACACTGCTGGCCTCATTCTGGCGCTGAGCATTGTCTAGTGAGGTTTTAGCATACTTCGAAAAGTTTAGCTCATCTGAAAGTGGCTATGAATGGTATCGATCTCATCAGACTCTTGGTGTAAAATCAGATTGGAATAGAAAAAAACAACAGCATGTGATTGGACATTTAAAAGTATGTTGAAACCACGGATTCAGTTTCTGTATCATGTTTTTTTGTTTTTATCTTAAATCCTGCAACACTTTTGCCTTGCACACTTTAGCTGTCAGCTCCAGGAGTCTTTTACAGCTATTTTACAGCATTTGCCAAAAATATTTCTTTCGAGAAATGGGAAAAAAAAGTTTCTATTTTTGTAAATATGAGTTGTTAATAAATGAGAACGTCTAAATGTGTCTGGGATCTGTAGTTTGTGAACCAATCCATTATTCATTCTGACTCTATTTTGGGCTCTGTGCTGTTGATAAATTATGAACGTAAGACGTCTTAGCCGCAGGCTTTGTCCTGACTTTCTGTTTAGCTTAATTCCAGATCACAGTGACTTTAAACTATCCACTTCAAGTGTGTTACACATAGGTTTTAAATGTCTGAGCTTTGCTGCCGTCAGCTGTATGATACCAATCAGTAACAGAAGCTTTTTAAATTAAAGTTAACCCCAGAACTCGTGGTAATTTACAGCTCAGGATTAAAAACAACAGTTTTTGACCAAATCTACAGACTGTAAAGCCAAAATATGCATTTGAAGCTTTGTCAATATCAAGAAATGGATTTGTCAGCTTTCAATGACGCTCTTTACACATTTCTCACTGCCAGAACAGAAAGATCATCAGAGACTCGAGATGAGCACGCTGCCCTTTTGTTACGCCAGAAAACTTTTTTCCAAATAAAATTGAATTTCCTCACTGCTTCTGTGCAAAACCAGCCTTTCTGTCTTTATGCTTTCAAACAAATAAAGTATTTTCCTTAGTAAAAGCATAATATTCACGAGTTTGTGTGTTCATTTGTTCGTTCTTTTTCAGTCTCTGATGTCGACGGTGTCATTCCTTTAAGTCAAGAGTCATTGTGTTTTACCTCTCTTGCAGAAAGTGTGCTGTGATAAGTGTTTGCATGGTATAAATATTCTGTACCACCTCAACCAGTTTGATCACAGCCGTATTACCGAATCTAGAACCAGACTAACATATTGGTTGACTGATGCTGATGCTAATTCTGGGCTATTGCCAGTAACTTACTCAGTATTTACTGTATGCTGTACAATATTTACTGATTTAATGAAGTTGACTTATAAAACACAAAGTAATGAATGGATGGGTTAATTAAGAAAAGGTATCATCACTTATTTAGCTCCATAGTGAGTTGCACAAAGATACAGTTTTAGTAAATTTTTTCTGTCCACCACCAGGAATTTTCAATTAAATAATCAAGATTTGAATAAAGTGCAGACATTCAGTTTTAATTCAATCTGAACCACATATTTTACATTAATTGTTTAGAAATGACAATTATTTTTATACACAGTCATATCAAACGCTGAAAAATAATTGACTGTCAAGCAGTTTAATGACCAGGTGAGGCCTGTCCCCCTGTTATTTCATGACAAATGAAAGATTTGTTCCATTTGAAGCTATTTCAAAGTGTTGCATTTGCATTTTATGGCTTTTGATTGTTATATTTTAAACATGAGGTCCAACAAGATGTCAGTGCACATGAAGGAGCCTGAAGGAGTAGCCAAACAATCAAGCAGCAATCTGGTTCATTCTTAAAAAAACAACAGCAAAAGACAACAGAAGAAAACTAGAGTGCACGATGCAAGAAATATTTATGGTTAAGGAAACTAACTTTACAAATCAATATAACCAAGTCAGAAACACACTCAAGGAGGTAGGTGTGAGAGTTTACAACAAGGTGCAAACCACTGGTTAGACTCAAGAACAAGAAGGTCAGACTTTAAAAGAAACCATCTACAAGAGCTGGAAAAAACCCAATAAAAGCATCCTTTGAACAGATGAAGCTAAGATGAACGTGTAGCAGAATGATGGGTGGAGAAAAGCTCATGATCTGAAGCACATCATCTGTCAAACATGGCGGAGTGTGTATGGATGCCAGCGAAGATAGGTTGTTAGAGTTTATTGATGATGCGATAGCTGATAGCAGCAACATCTTGAACTGTGGGGTGTACAGGGCTGTACTCGCTGCTCAAATTCAGTCAAACCCTGCAAACCGATTGGCTGCAGTTTCACAGTGCAAATGGACAATGACCTGAAGCAAACTGCAAAAACAACCCAAGAGTTTCACGGGGCAAAGAAATGAGATATTCTTCAACTGACAAATTAGTGACCTGACCTCAAACCAGCAGAGCAGCTTTTCAGTTAGTGAAGATAAAACTGAAGGCTGATCGACCCACAAACAAGCAGCAGCTTGTCTGCGGGTCAATTTAGCCTTGTCCTAAAACCTCTGTAGCCAACTACATGAAGAATTCTGGCTTATGTACCAATATGGATATTTCACTCTCTAAAAGTCTCTAAAAGTCTCAAAAAGTCGAAATCAGTTTGGCACAATCTGGAAAAAACCCCCACAAATATTTTTAAAAAGTATAAATCCAGATATTTAAATGTATAAAATCAAGGGCTTTACTCTATTAAGTAAAGGTTATTCGTTTAAAATAAACTTGATCAACACAGATCCATGAAGGTCTGTGGGAAAAGACATTCATTTAATGCTAAAGCTTAAAACAGCCTTTAATTTTTATGTTTGCTAATTCCTGTGAATTATTTTCTCACTCAGTAAAGATGCAGTGCTAATAAAACCCAAACTGTCACAGCTATGACTGCACAAATGAGCTTTTGTTGTTTGTTTCCATTAATCTTTTGCGGTCATTTGTTTGTATTTAAAAAAAAAAACAGCATAAACTGTAGGTTATGTAATATCAATATCTTTGCAAGCTCCTTTGACTACATTAAAGACATTAAAACTAAGCTGGTGACCATAATTTCTTGCTAATGTCAAAGCTTCAAAGTGTGTTTTGATTTACGTTAGACACAAACTCTATTAGGACACAAATGAGCCTCGTGGTTAACACGCTGGCCAATAGGGGAGATTTTATCTTCTCCATCATGACAAAGATCCTGAAATAGATTAGCGGCAGTGTCTCATAATGAGTAGTGCGAATTGCTCTGACAGTCCCAAGACAATACGCAGTCCCACAGCCTCATTCCATTCTAGTCTCACAGCAACGCAGCCACAATGAATCCCACTAAACACTCCACCAACGGTGAATCATGCTGCCATAAAACCGATATAAACATCAGAGCAGACTCAGAAATACAGTATCTGATGAAACGCTAGTGGCAGAGAGTTAGTGCAAACTACAAGGAGCTGCGGTCTGATTTCACACTTTGATTCAGTATTGCAGAAGTTTCCAGCCGCTCTACTCGTTAATTATGGATGAAAAATCCTTTCATCGGGGCTCACAGAGAAAGCTGCTGCATTGTTTTCGCCTTCAAGTCCTGATGAGAGAACGCTCATCAAGTTTAAAAGTGAATTTCACTCCTGGAGTGTTGCGTGAAAGCCAAACCCTGCACGGAGGGGAAAACCCCCAAACAAGTGATCAACATTACAACCACTGACAATGATAGCAGCTCTCGGTAACACCGGTCATCTGTTGGGATACCTTAGGCCCTGACATTCATGCTGAGGTTAATTTGATACGTACCCACCCACCTTGGCATTGTTGCACACAAAGCACACCTATACATAGCAGCGGCATTCTCCCAGGAGGACAGTGCACTAAACCCCAAAACCTCTCAGGGCATTCATCTCGACTCAAACTCCCCAGATACCAATCCAACTGAGCATTCACAGGATGCAGTGGAACAAACTCCACGACCCGTCTGGCCCAAAGGATCTGTTGTTACTGTGCCTCAAGACACGCCCGGATTTCCGTGTCCAGGCCTTCACAATAATAGGCAGGTTCTTTTAATATGCAGATTAGTATGTCAAAACTCTGAGTCCTAATTATCAGGTACTATGTAAATCAGCATTTATTGATACCTTTGGTCATGTTTCTTCAAGTTCTGCTTTTTATTATTAAATTTATGGAGTTTTAGATGCCTGTTTGGATGGTTTTCTATTCTAATGCTCGTTTCTTTGGCCTTTATTTAACTTCAGTTTCTATTTGAGTTTATTTCTTGTGTGTTCAGTTCCTTCAGTGTTTCCCTCTCTCTCATCTTTACTTGTCTCATACTTACCTCCTTGTCTCACAAGTGGCTGTGCCTCAGGTGGTAGAGTTATAATCAACAAATTAGAAGGTTCCTCGATTCCTGACTCCTCGGCCCATGTACTGAGACATCCTTCTGCTAGGTGACGAATCTGTATGACTGTTAGAAACCACTCAAGCATGGATAAAAGCCTGCAGGAAGATGGGCCCATGTCCCTTTTTCGGGCTGTGCCCGACGGTGGGGCGTTGGGAATGAGAATCAGCACCTCCAAATGTGAGGCCATGGTCCTCAGCCGGAAAAGGGTGGAGTGCCCATTCTGGGTCAGGGACGAGACGCTGGCCCAAGTGGAGGAGTTTAAGTATCTCGGGGTCTTGTTCACAAGTGATGGGAGAAGGGAGCGGGAGATCGACAGACGGATTGGTGCAGCGGCTGCAGTGATGCGGACGCTGTACTGGTCTGTTGTGGTGAAGAGAGAGCTGAGTGTAAAAGGGAAGCTCTCAATTTACCGGTCGATCTACGCCCCTACCCTTACCTATGGTCACGAGCTTTGGGTAGTGACTGAAAGAACGAGATCGCGGATACAAGCGGCAGAAATGGGTTTCCTCCGAAGGGTGGCTGGCCTCTCCCTTAGAGATAGGGTGAGAAGTTCAGCCAAGTTCAGAGTAGAGCCGCTGCTGCTCCACATCGAAAGGAGCCAGCTGAGGTGGTTCGGGCATCTGACAAGGATGCCTCCTGGGCGCTTCCTGGGTGAGGTTTTCCGGGCATGTCCCACCGGGAGGAGGCCCCAGGGCAGACCCAGGACACACTGGAGAGATTATATCTCTCGGCTGGCCTGGGAACGCCTTGGTGTTCCCCCGGATAAACTGGAGGAGGTGGCTGGGGAGAGGGAGGTCTGGGCTTCTCTGCTTGGGCTGCTGCCCCCGCGACCCGGCCCTGCATAAGCGGAAGAAAATGGATGGATGGAGGTTTTGTTTGTTATTGTCATCACCTGTCTGATCAGGCCATTCATTGGTTTCACAAGGTACAGGTATGGAGATGTTAGTGGATCAGTCCCAGGCTCTTCCATTATGCATCCAGGCACCAGAGTCATGTATGAAGTTTGTGTAACTAGATGAATGACGCTCACAGAATCAATTGAGTCAGTGCTATAGACTGTATGCAAAATGGAAATAGCTACTGTGACATCACTCATTGAATTTGAAACTAGCACTTTATTAGTTCCAGTGTAAATAATTTGAACTCAAGGTGGAGAGCATGGAATGCTAAGTTATTGGCTAAATCCTGCGAACTTTGTTAGCAAGCTTCATTCATAAACTGTACGTTTGCAACAGGCAGACAGACCTACATAATAATTGTTGCTTAGTAACAAGCACCAACACCACCATTATGCTACAGCTGCCCATGACACATGCCAATCAAACTCACCCACTGAACTGTTTTTATGGAGGAGATTGGGGATTGACTCACTTTAGGAGAACCTCATTTGAGGAGATGCAGTAATTGGTGCTTGTGCACAGGTCAAAATGTACAGTTACTGAATCACAGTGATGTCATGCATGTTAAAATGGTAAAAAGTATGTGAATATGCTGACTCGTGTTGTGATATAGTTTTGATGGAGGCAATTTTTGGCTCTAGAACTGCAGACTGACAGTTTCTGTTGCTGAAAACGAGACATCCCACAAACCTGACCGTCCTGACTGGATTTAGCAGGATTTAGCTTCTTCTGTTTTCTTTAAAGTTTAGTGCAGCACTGATTTATGCGTTTCACACAGCAGCATTCATTTCTAAGGATTTCCCTGGAAATCAGACAGACACAGTCCAGAGAAGCAGACTCACTGCTGACTGAACTCGATCGGTAAACAAGCCACTTTTGTAGTTTCTCATTTATCAACTGAGGGCTTTGTTTGAAAGACATATCTGCAGCCAAAGAGCTGGAGGTACCGAGAACACCGCTCAAAGGTCTTGATACGAGTATTTAAAACTAGAAGTCTTACACATATATACTGGATTTGTGAGGGATATTTTCTTTTGTTATTAGTCTGCACTCTGGTATTGTAGACATTATAAAGACATTATAAAGTTTTAAAAAAATCTGCTCACACAGAGATTCTTCCATGAAATGAGATTTCTGGCCACCTCAGAAACCGGGTATTAGGGTAAAAGACTAACTGAACAAGTAATGGCTGGTTGAGTCGTGATAGCTGGCACTCAAGTCTCGCTGTTTCATCCGATAAAGTGAATGGTTAGAAGTGATTTCAACCTGATCTCAAACTTGGTACTTTTGGTACTTGGTATCAAAGTTCAGGAGACCTTTTATCCAATATGACAGAGTCTGTGGAACTCTTTTTGACATTCTCTCTAGTGAATTCATTTCATTAATTTTATTTCTGTCTGATCATAGCAAAACAAGCAGTATTTTCCAAAAACAATGAAAAATACTAATAGATAAATAAAATAAACAACTAAATAAAAAATAACCCCGTTATATTTCAGACAGAAAGGGTTCAGGGAAAAGCAATTGCTTATATGTTGCTGTTTTTTTTAAAAGAAAATATAAAATAGCTATTAAATGCAATTTGGCAGGTCAAAAATTATATATAAAAGATTGGATTTATAAAGCGCTTTAAATTACAATTCCACTATTCATTCACACACTGGTGGAGGCAGCTACAGTTGTAGCCACAGCTGGGGCAGACTGACAGAAGCGAGGCTGCCATATCGCGCCATCGGCCCCTCTGAAGTGTATTGCCCAAGGACACAACAACCAAGACAGACAGAGCTGGGGATCAAATCGGCAACCTTCTGGTCACAAGCTAAGCTCCCAACCCCCTGAACCATGATCACCCAAGATTTATATAAATCTTAACTAATACTAGTGTGTTTAAGTTTCAGCATAATTCAGTTTGCCCATTTGTGCCCATCACTGGTTATTTTTTGGGTTACTATTAAGCAGTTATTTGTTCTTTTTAATTTTTGTAAGGCTTTTTGGACAGTATGGCTGCAGTATTGTAGATAAAATTAGTAACTCTTATATGATTAGACTAATGTTAATGAAGCTTATTAACTGTAGTCATTAGTTTAGCTGTACAGTCATGTGGCTTGCATATCAATTACTGGTCCGTGCCACCTGTGGTTAATAGTGCTATTAGTTTTCGTGTAGTGTTCATTGCTCTTTCATCTTCTTGTCTCTTCCTTAGGTTGACAGCCTATTATGCACTAAGCGAACACTATAACAGTATGAACCGGAGAGATCAGGTTTATATACAGTGACAGATTTTTTTTTTCATGCACACATGAAAAAAAGGTTGTTTAAACTCAGCAGTAATTTCCCTGATGGTCCGGTGCAGTGGAGTGAAAAGGGACAGATGTGGCCTGATGTTTCACAGAGAGACTGACAGCAACGTGTAGGAAGCAAAGAAGCATGATGAAGAGGGAAGGGCAGCATGTTGACATCATGGAATGTGTGTATGTGTGTGACTAGACTGAGCATGAGATACTAGCAGTCTGAATGTGTTGATGCATGTATGCTTACGCTCTGGCCTACTTTCTCACTGATGATGCTGCAGAAAAGAGAGCAGCAGGAGGAGAGGGAGTATCCCACAATGCCACGCTGCTCACCCCATGAGCCATGTGGATGGATAAAGGACGGATGGATGGATAGATGTCGGAGTCAGCCAAGATCTGCACACACTAAACGTGTTTACTGTCACCGCCCTCTCATTAGCTCGCGCTTTTGCAGTTTTTAAACCTGTGTCATATCGCAAACAATAAAACACATAACTTCCGTGTGAGTATTTCGAAATAAATGTTTTGTTTTTTAAATTAATTGGGTAGTTGTGGCTATGAGGAACCTCGTGGAAGCCATTTAATATCAAATATGTACTTAACGTTTCAATGGATTTGATGTTAAAGAAGAAACTGTAAATAAATCACTAATATTAGTTATAAAATAGTAGTTTAAAAGATTTTGAGCTTTAAAAACAACTAAATCTGCCTTTAACTTGTGGTAAAAAATGCATGGGAATATGGAGCTTCTTAATGTGTAAAAAAGTATAAGTGCAGGGATTGATTCTAAATCATAATTATAATTTGTGCAAGAACTCACATTTTTTTTTTTTTTAAATTCAGAATATTTTTGTGTTTGTCATTTGTTGTAAAATGTACTTATTTGGTATTTTCGGGCTTATTTAAGGGGACACTGGTCCAAAATTAAAAAAGTAGGAGAAGAAAGCAAAAGGAAACCTAGTTTAAACCTCTAATTAAAAAAAAAGCGGGCACAAAACTATAGTAAAAAAAAAAAAACAAGCAAAAAACCTTACTGCTCTATGTATAAATAACTATTTTATGACATAAAAAGACGATGGTTAATTTTTAATGAATTATTATAATATTATTTTTTAAAATATCAAATGTCACATAAAAATGTATCGTTTAAAAAAAGTTTGGGGGCTTTTATTTTGAAGACAAGTTTTCCCACTTCCTACCTGGCGTGCGTAGCTTGACGTAGCTCACTGCCAGTTGGTCAGGGGGCTCGTGAGTGCAGTTCGTTCTGTTGTCCAGGCGGCTGCGCGTGCTGCCGTGCTCGGCTGCAGTATATAAAGGCGGTCAGCGGTCAAATCCCACACAGCCGCTCTCAGCGTTACGTTTTTGTTTTTTAATTTATTATCACGCCGGAGTAGTTAGACTCTCCTTTTCACCGCCGGCATCCGCGTCCTCTCAGTACCCGGAGGAGAGGGGGTCCAGCGCGGCGTGACACCGCGAGGAGCGACCAGCATGGACCCCCAAGCGAAGGATCGCACCAGCCCGGCGGCGGGGGGCTTAAGCGGGCGCCCGGCCTCTCTCGGAGCTGACGGGGGTGACTCGGAGTCCGGAGCCGGCTCGGAGGAGGCTGCCGTGGGCTGCTGCAGCGACACGTTCAGTAGCCTGCCTGACATGGAGCAAGAGACTCTGGAGGAGAAATTAAGGGGACTGGCGTTCAGAAAACAGACGTCGTATCGGTGAGTGGGATAGCTGGGAGGATGCTGGGGAAGGATACTGGTTCGAGAAGGATATGTTTGTGCATTTATTATGTCTTTGCGCCTATACTTCACTCTCCTCGTGCTTAAGTTACACGTTAAAGGCTAAAGCTGCTGCAAGAATTACACCCATGCTAGCTAAATCTTGTAAACATAAACACACACTGAGTGGTGCATACTTCAGCTCATAGCTGAAAAGCTAAATTCTCACATGTCATGGTTATGATAACCCTGCCTTGTCCCAGGCTGTGCTCACTATGCTGCTGTTGACAGCCCCAGCACTGATATGCGCACAAAAGCCAGGGTACTTTAGCCCCATCAGTGAGGGATAAAAACAATTTTACATACACAACAATGTGTGCATGTCCCTGTGGTGCTGGAACAGTGTGGAGGAGGGGGAGGGAGTGAAGCTGTATTGATTTGTGGTGTGTGTGTGTGTGCGTGTGTGTGTGAATGCCAGCAGCATCCTGACACCCCAGTGTGACTGGCAGCTGCAGTTGATAGTGAAAACTGGCCAGATCCCAAGTCCACACGTTCACACAGTCTATCTGTCTGTCTTTCTGTCTAGGCTTTGTGTTTATGTGTCTGCTGGAAATGATCTGTAGTTGGGGGTCAAATCAATCATTTCAGCTTGTTTGTGTTCGACTAACTTGTTTGTGTCTGATTTGGGGCAGTGTGATAAAGTGAAGTATAATTTTTACCATCAGCACTATTAAACCTTTGCTTGGGAAAATTGATAAGAAAGGGTCACGACCTCTAATCTGGTGACTCTGTGCTCATATGTACTGATTTGTGTCATGAAATTAATATTTTTCACTTTCAGATGTCGATGGCATTCACATTTTGAATGTGGGAGGGTTTGCAGGAGAGGTTGAGTGAGTCATTTTGCAACTTGCACTGTCGACCTCACTTTGACTCGCAGATTTTAATCATCAAGTAAAAATGACTCTGTTTAGTTTAGGGATTAAAAACTACTTGGTTAGATTGAAGGTCACAAAACAGCTTGGTCAATAAAACCTACTTTGATCAGTTAAGGGAATAAAATCTACTCTGATTAGAAAAATATCATGTTTTTGGGTTAAAACACACCGATTGCCACTTCTTTTTCTTGGTTTCCATGGTGAGACATCCCCTCCTATTGAAATACATTCATTTTAAAGTTGTAAATCACATTTGGTCTTCGTCAACACAAAGAATAAAAACTGTAAATTAAAAATTATGGCTGCATTTGATAAATTATTTCTTTTTAAACCTGGGTGGGGGTGGGGTGGGGGTGCAGGATAATTACTGTAAGCCTTTTATTGCCCCAGTAATTAATGACCCAGTCAGATTAAATATTCCCCATGTAAACACATTACAGTTGAATAAACCATTCCTTTTTTTTTTTTTTTGAGGAATGCAATTCATCTCATTTTAAAAAGGGCTGGTACATTATAATAATCCTATTACAATCCATTCGACAGATGATAATTACCCATTTTTTGTTGTTGTTGTTTGGAGTGTGCATGATCTTTTTAAACAGTGTAAGGCAAAGACAACAGAGACTCACAACTCCTTTGTGTTTATTGTGTCATCATTTACGGAGTCTCTGTTCCGAGGGGAAACCATCTTTGGTTAAGTGAGGTTTCCAGGAGATTGTGTTTCCTGGGGAGTGCCGCAGCTGGCTTGCCTTTTTCCAATTTTATGACTGCAGGAGTAGTTTGTTGTGATAAAAGTGTTGCCTCAGTAGAAAATGCAGCAGTAAACCGGAGCATTGATGGGTTTGGTACACTGAACATATCAAACCCTCGTCTGCTTTATGGACTCCGGAGGAAAGGATGACGTCATGTGAAGAATCGTGTTCAGCCAGCAGAAGTCTTAGTTGGCAGAAGTTGTGTTATTATTATGTGATAGTCAAGGAAGTGGTGGTGTTTGATTATTTGCTCGACATGGATCCATTTTATTGCACTTAACTGAGTCAAATGTTCATAAGTAGTACTTTTTAAAAAAATGGTGTTTCTCCAGACATTTTGTGCCTGTGAGGAAGAGTCAGTATTTGAGATTTATTGTTCTGTAAAACAGTTCAGAGCTTGATCGGAACTATTTTAAGTCACACTTTTGGCTTCCAGTGATTATGAAAACAATTACCCCATGGTAACCAATGGTTGCGAGGGAAAGATTGGTTGGGGAGTGTTTGCGGGAGGTTGCTTGCTCTCGCTGGGTGAAAGTGGTGCACCCAAAACCTTCTTACGTTTGCTTTGGTTGCTCCTAGATAGCAGTGATTAACTTTTACTTTGAAGGTTTCCCTTTTTCGTCGCCGATTTTTTTTTTTTGGTTTCACTACTGCAGTTAGTGAGGGTTTACAGATGCAGTGGTGTCTTCTGTGGAAACTAAAGGTGAATGTGATAATCTGATTGCGACTAAAGAAAGCTCAGGGAGGTTTTTGATGTTATCACCATTTTTTTTTGGACCAGTTTAACCTAGCAACAACTGGTCAGAGAATAAACGTTTCCCCTAGGGACCAGCAGTTTCTGACTCGTCTCTAGGCCCGTGTAATTGACCAACTTGCTCGCTGTTAGGTTCAGCTCTAGCTGAGATGACTTCGATAGGTAAAACCCAGCAGTTTCCATAGAAGAACCTGTGGAAGAACCACTACTTGCTGCTTTTTGTCTCCAGATCTCTCAGGACCCATTGAACTGGCCTGCTTTAAGTGATGCACAGCAGCTGGCTGTTGTCTTGGCAAAGGTGATAAGATCCCAACAATTTAAATGTGAGACAGTTTAGTTTAGTAAATACACAATTTTCCATAGCCTGTGAGTAATTCTGATCATAATTTTTGCCAAAAATAAGGAGTTCCTACTCTCATTAAGTAATGACCTGTGGTCTGCCATACTACACCAAAATAAGGTGGTGTAGTCCAAGGAGCTGGCGATTGTTTAATTTAAAAATGCAACATTTTTTTACATAAAAAGAAATGGGAACAATTTAACTGTGTTTTTATTAGGTTGTTAGGCATTAGTTACCCTGTTTTCATCTGGTTAATATACTAATACAGTTAGTTTATACAACAGGAACAACTGACGAGTACTTGTAAGGTTATCTTGTGTTTTATAAATGCTGATACCCTTAAAACCCGTCATTCATCAACAGATAGTTGTTGGTGTGAGATGAAATTTTGGCAAGTGTGATTGCTCTTTTATGATGATTATCAGACACTTGGCTCAAACTTGATTGAGTAATGCAACTAGAAACCAGAAGATTTACCCAAACTCTGGCCTAGATATTCTACATATATAGAAATGCAGATTTCTCTGTATAGAGATTAATATATACCGAGTATATTGGAATATTACACCGGAATTGAGAGTAAAAGTTCTGGGAGGAAAGTGGAATGACAAAAGATGAACCAAATAATGACCTTGTCCACCCTGTCCCTTTATAGCTGCTTCCAGTAGCTGTATTCAGTGCTCATAAACTGTAAATGGCCTCACTGGAATCCCTAGTTGGATTATTTTTGTTTGCAAAGCAGAGAATTTGGCTCATGTTACTCAGCCACTGTTTGCTACTGTGCACTGAGTATTTCAGAGAAGAAGAATGTGGAAATAAAATGCCAGATGGTTAGAAAACCTGCCATTTTTTTTCTTTTTCTTTTTCTTTTTTTTTTAGTTAATGAACAACTTATACTGTGTATATGGTACTCTTTGCTGGAATTTCACTTATTCCCTAGCATGATGTTCTTTTGTCACATCTGAAGTTAGAACAGTTTGTTTCTTTATTGTATTTCTAATCCACCGCAGTATGTCGGTCGTATGTTTGGACTGGAAGAATACAGTCTGGTAGATTTAATTACGCCAAATAAATCTGCCTTGTTCTATCAACACGACAAAGGCAGATTGGCACGGCGGTTAACGTGGCGTGTCTTGGGTTGTTCGGACCTTTGACCTTATTGGATGAGGCTATGATTAATCTGTGAATTTTCTGCTTCGTGGAATCAGCCATGATGTGCAGGAAATGGAATTAGCCGGTCAGGGGAGATGGTTTGTAAGAAGGTGGTTTACATAGCTTTGAAGTGGCCAATGCCAAGAAGTGAATTACCATATGTGGCAATATGAAAGAGCTGAGAAATTATGCTGTTGAACATCAAAGCCAGCGTGTGTGTGAGTGTATGTGAGGAGCTGTGGTATTGTGTGTTTATGGCAGCATGAGGCACGTGTAACTTATCTGCCAGACATTCGTCACACTTTGTCTGTGTGTGTGTGTGAGTGTGTGTGTTCCCAGAATGCTGTCCCTCCTTTTATCTATTCTTAGATGTCTCACCCATCTGCCTGCATGACAGCCCTTCCTCTGTCAAAAGACAGCGGCTTTGTGTGTGTCTGTGTAGTCAGCGCACCGGTTGGTTTGTAAGACATTACTTTAATTAGCTAGTCAGTCAGCCGGCTGGACACTCAATCTGTAAGTGAGTCAGTGACATGTTTCTCCAACCACTTCCTGGTTATCTGTGACAGGCAGTTGGTCAGCGTTGCATTTATAGATTTTTCGGATTATCTAGCTGTCAACACAGTTGGCATTAGAGCTCATAAAATTATATAAACCCGCTACAGTTCCCACAACCCATAAAGCAGAGCCTTAGCAGAGCGGCAGTTGTGCTCATAGCAGCGAAACGAGACTCTATCTCCTCTGTCCTGACCTCACAATGACCCCACTCCATCCCTGTGCACTCTTTCTGAAGTCCTAATGTACCCCAAAGCCCATATATACATGCCTACAATCTTTGCAGTCTTCCTGGAACACTTTATTAATTATGCCACAACTGACTGATAGCCACGTTGAGATTAGATATAAAATATTCATTGCAACTTAGAGCTGCATCATAGTTGAAATACGTAGTGGGAGATATGTATTGTAAGATGATGCCATTAGAGATGCTGGGGTTTTTCCCTGCACCATTAAAGAGGTGTTAGTCAGAGCCAAAGGACAGTAAGGGCAAAATGATTACTAGTTTT